AGTATCTTATTTTGCTAAGTATAAACACATTTTTCTACAAAACATTCTCCTCTTTCTGATTTAACAAAACAAAACACGCCAACATAAGAAGCAATAAAAGGTCTTAGGTCTGAATAAATAAACTAATAATCTGACCAATTAGAAAGCTTTCAGTACACAGTTCACCGTTTCTGAAACTTTTTGTTACAAAGTTTGGTCAGAACTTTGGAACTTCTGGAGTTCAGCAGCCAGCCCTACTGTGTATATGCTCTGAGGATGGATGTGACTAAGAAAATTGCCTTTAATGTGACAAGTGATGAGGACGGATGGTGAGTAACATGATGAGCGGTCACATGGGGCAGCTGCGCTGTGGCAGGAGGAGGAAAAGGGAAGGGAGCGGCTTTTTTTCAACGAGATTATTAAGTTAATCAGTATTGATGAACCCTGTCAGACGGAATCTGAGAATGAGACAAAGAAGCCAGCAATGTGGTGAAATCATCCCGCGGCTTGAGGTCCACCAGGGCTGAAAGACCCAATTCTGCCATCACAAAAAGGCCAGGCCAATTCCGTCTTGAAAATGACACCACAGCAATCGTCACAGTAATAGGACAGCCTGCTGCGGGCCCCACAATATGTTCTGATGGCCAATCAGACAGTGTCTGAGTGAGTCTGAGATCTAACTGATTGGCACTTACTAATCACACAGCTGGTCTGTATTCCATGAGAGATTCATACGGAGAGAAGGAACAAAAAAATGAAAACATAAGAGAATGGGGAGGGTAAATTTTTTATGTCTTTGATTTGAGAGCAGCCCTAATCACAGCAAGGTCTAATCAGTGACCACTGATGCAGCCGTGCCTTTTCTCTCCTTATCTGAATTTAACAAAACAAACGCTCCAGTTCTTTTTTTCAAATACGACTGTAGCAGCCACACAGAAGATCCTGGTTATAAAAGAAAAGAACTTCCATTGCTTATAAGTTCACAACTGCCTTTGATTTCCTAAAAAAGATCTTAAAAACTCAAAACAAAGAGGCAGTTTACTTCCTCAGGAGGATATCATAAAAAGAATCTGAGGTAATCGCCTATCAAACATGAAAAGGCATATGGAACAAACGCAGATCTGCAGGGGGCTGTCAAGGGAACCTCTAAACCTGGATTACTGTCGCCACTTGTCTCCTGATCAGGGGAGCAGGAAACTTAAATGGCGTGTTTGATCGCTCTTGTAATGCCCTTGAACTCCTCACGTTCAAAAGTCAGGAGGCTTAACTGTATTGTCAGGTCCCCTCCCTGTCTCTCAGGTCATCTAAATCATCTAAGCCCATACTTCTGCTATGAACAAACTATCCTATTTCATGAGAGCCAGCACACAAAGCAGCAGCAACACAGGTCACTAAACAAAGCCCTCGCAGTCTGGTAATCTTTTATCCATTACTGCAAAGCAAAGAGTGACATCTACTGGTGATCCAGGGCGCTACATGATTCTATCAGCCTGTACTTTTCTGCGATAATCCACTATGTCATCCATTAAAAAAAGGCCTTCAAGAGCTGTGACCTATTACATTTAATATGTAAATCAGGCTGAACTGTGTCAGAACTAACATTTTCTGTGTTATCTTGGCTTTCACTGTGAATACCAAATCTAAAGAGCTAAAGGTCATGGGGCTGTGAAAGATTGACCTCATCGCCCAATGGGAAAACAGCACAGCTTTGACCCGGGCTACATACCTAGAACTTTATGTGCTTTTTAGCTTAACAGGTGAGACAGGACAGGTGAGACTTAAAGCACGTGTGAAGATACTGGTCTTTGTACTGGACTGATGTTTCAGTAAGGTGTATGTTTGCGTAGGACTGGTAGTGGCCAAACAGTCAGAGCGTATTCAAACAAGTAGAGGAAGAGGTTTGTTGTGTATTTATAGCTCTGTTTCCATTCTTCTATTTCCCTTTTACAGTAAAAGTCTCTGGCAATTGTTAGAAGCCATTTAAATATTGTGTGCACATGCTAGTGTGTCAAGAGGAGCTGCATTAGTCTCGTTGAATGTTGTTCAACTGAGTCAAGAGAAAGGCTGAGCTCAAAGTCACATTTTCAGAGGCTTTATGACGACAGATTTACTAACAGGTTACCAGGTGTTATGGTAACCTGAAGTCTATGGTTTCGATAGAATGCTAAATCAATCACAACAGAACAATTGCTCTTCACTGCCATCAATGATCTATAATGATGATCTAATCAGAAGAGTATCTTCACCAATTTACACATCAAGATCAGTAAACTTGTCATGGTTAACACTTCTCAACATTCGATCAGTTGTATAATACTGTCTGTGGCCCAGGTAGATCGTGGTAAAGTCTGAGAGTTAAAGAGACAGGACATTTTTAACCTAAAGGTTGTGTTAAAAACTGGGGACATGGAGTTTGTAAGACATCAGTATTTACCAGGTGGGAAAGATATAAAGAAAAAACCCTTTTGAGTTGGATTATGGGAAGCATATGATCGAGTATTTTGGGTCTTACTACAGACTAAAAGTCAGAATATCTTGACCTCGGATGCAACCATTTTTGACCATTGTTTTTTTTAAATTGAGAGTCCCCAAGTGCGATACAAATTTGCTGCAGTACTCTACTCAGGCATAACATTATGAGCACCGACAGATAATGATTATCTGGTTATCATGTCACCTGTCGGTGGGTGGAATATATTAGGCAGCAATTGAACATTTTGTCCTCAGAGTTGATGTGTTAGAAGCAGAGAAAATGGGCAGTGTGAGGATCTGAGTGACTTTGACAAGGGCCACATTGTGATGGACGACTGGGTCAGAGCATTCCTTAAAACTGCAGCTCTTGTGGGGTGCTCCCGGTCTCCAGAGGTCAGTACCTA